TTGTTTCAGTGTTTTTCATAAATCGATACAGAAATTGGCAGCGGAAATCAGCCCGGATCATCCACTTCTGCGCATTCCAGCGGTAAATGTCTCTTTTTTTGTCGGATTAGCATTTTTTCTTCGGTAGCAGAGGGTAATTTAAGCTGTGAATCAGCAGTTTTTGTAATTCAAGCTGTGAATTAGCAGTTTTTTTTAAAGTGCGGTTGATTTATGTTAAAAAAAAAACATTCTTCTGTCATCTGGCCCGTTTGAAACTCGTTTATTGAAACAGTCCAGAATTTGATTTTTAGAGATTCCGTGGTGAATGCCCATGGCCATCGGCGCAAGCTGAAATCGCAATCATAAATGCCTACAAATCACCCCGTGATAAAATGGCCTGTATTGTTCGATGTTGCGAAACAATCGAAAATCTCATTATTTTGGCGGCCGAAAGAGGCTCCGCATCAGCGGACGATATCACACCTGTGCTCGTTTATGTCCTTATTCAGGTTCGTCTTTTTTTAGACATTTTTAAATGGTTTTTTTTTTGCTGTTGGCAAAAATTGCATTTCCTAGACCTTAAATTGAAATAGTAGAATAGAAGGATTGGTCTTAAGTATCATGTGCTAGAGATCATTTAACGATGTAGTCTCTGTGTTTCATCCCTTAACTGTAAACGCAAACCGAGCAATGCATTCGGATAGGAGCGAGAATTATCAGTACAGCCTCCTGCGCGCCATGTTCTGAACAATCATGTGACTAATTTGCAAGACAGATATGCGAAAGAAAGAGAAGTCAGAGAAAAAGAGAACAAACAGAGTGTACCTTATCGATTGCGACAAAAACACTTGTTTTTGAAGAAAAAATTTTATGTATTCTCGTACACATTCATTTTTACAGGATTCGTTATGATTTATTCGACTGTTTCAGGCAAATCCATTGGTTTTACTATCGAACGTCCAATACATTGCAGCATTTTATGCGAATCAGTTGGAAGGAATTGAAGCGTACTGGTGGACACAATTCACTGGTGCATTGGAATTTATCAAAACATTGTTAAGCCGCACTTCATGATACCTTCG